CAGTCTGACACCTTCAACACAGTCTGACACCTTCAACACAGTCTGACACCTTCAGCACAGTCTGACACCTTCAGCACAGTCTGACACCTTCAACACAGTCTGACACCTTCAACACAGTCTGACACCTTCAACACAGTATGACACCTTCAACACAGTCTGACACCTTCAACACAGTCTGACACCTTCAACACAGTCTGACACCTTCAACACAGTCTGACACCTTCAACAGTCTGACACCTTCAACACAGTCTGACACCTTCAACACAGTCTGACACCTTCAACACAGTCTGACACCTTCAGCACAGTCTGACACCTTCAACAGTCTGACACCTTCAACACAGTCTGACACCTTCAACACAGTCTGACACCTTCAACACAGTCTGACACCTTCAGCACAGTCTGACACCTTCAACACAGTCTGACACCTTCAACAGTCTGACACCTTCAACACAGTCTGACACCTTCAACAGTCTGACACCTTCAACACAGTCTGACACCTTCAACACAGTCTGACACCTTCAACACAGTCTGACACCTTCAACACAGTCTGACACCTTCAGCACAGTCTGACACCTTCAACAGTCTGACACCTTCAGCACAGTCTGACACCTTCAACACAGTCTGATACCTTCAACACAGTCTGACACCTTCAACACAGTCTGATACCTTCAACACAGTCTGATACCTTCAACACAGTCTGACACCTTCAACACAGTCTGACACCTTCAGCACAGTCTGACACCTTCAACAGTCTGACACCTTCAACACAGTCTGACACCTTCAGCACAGTCTGACACCTTCAACACAGTTTGAAACCTTCAACACAGTCTGACACCTTCAACACAGTCTGACACCTTCAACACAGTCTGACACCTTCAACACAGTCTGACACCTTCAGCACAGTCTGACACCTTCAGCACAGTCTGACACCTTCAACACAGTCTGACACCCTCAACACAGTCTGACACCTTCAACAGTCTGACACCTTCAGCACAGTCTGACACCTTCAGCACAGTCTGACACCTTCAACACAGTCTGACACCTTCAACACAGTCTGACACCTTCAGCACAGTCTGACACCTTCAGCACAGTCTGACACCTTCAACACAGTCTGACATCTTCAACACAGTCTGACACCTTCAACACAGTCTGACACCTTCAACAGTCTGACACCTTCAACACAGTCTGACACCTTCAACACAGTCTGACACCTTCAACACAGTCTGACACCTTCAGCACAGTCTGACACCTTCAACAGTCTGACACCTTCAACACAGTCTGACACCTTCAACACAGTCTGACACCTTCAACACAGTCTGACACCTTCAGCACAGTCTGACACCTTCAACACAGTCTGACACCTTCAACACAGTCTGACACCTTCAACACAGTCTGACACCTTCAACACAGTCTGACACCTTCAACACAGTCTGACACCTTCAGCACAGTCTGACACCTTCAACAGTCTGACACCTTCAACACAGTCTGACACCTTCAGCACAGTCTGACACCTTCAACACAGTCTGACACCTTCAACAGTCTGACACCTTCAACACAGTCTGACACCTTCAGCACAGTCTGACACCTTCAACACAGTCTGACACCTTCAGCACAGTCTGACACCTTCAGCACAGTCTGACACCTTCAACACAGTCTGACACCTTCAACACAGTCTGACACCTTCAACACAGTCTGACACCTTCAGCACAGTCTGACACCTTCAGCACAGTCTGACACCTTCAGCACAGTCTGACACCTTCAACACAGTCTGACACCTTCAACACAGTCTGACACCTTCAACACAGTCTGACACCTTCAACACAGTCTGACACCTTCAACACAGTCTGACACCTTCAACACAGTCTGACACCTTCAACACAGTCTGACACCTTCAACAGTCTGACACCTTCAACACAGTCTGACACCTTCAACACAGTCTGACACCTTCAACACAGTCTGACACCTTCAACACAGTCTGACACCTTCAGCACAGTCTGACACCTTCAACAGTCTGACACCTTCAACACAGTCTGACACCTTCAACACAGTCTGACACCTTCAACACAGTCTGACACCTTCAGCACAGTCTGACACCTTCAACACAGTCTGACACCTTCAACAGTCTGACACCTTCAACACAGTCTGACACCTTCACACAGTCTGACACCTTCAACACAGTCTGACACCTTCAACACAGTCTGACACCTTCAACACAGTCTGACACCTTCAACACAGTCTGACACCTTCAGCACAGTCTGACACCTTCAACAGTCTGACACCTTCAGCACAGTCTGACACCTTCAACACAGTCTGATACCTTCAACACAGTCTGACACCTTCAACACAGTCTGATACCTCTCACACAGTCTGATACCTTCAACACAGTCTGACACCTTCAACACAGTCTGACACCTTCAGCACAGTCTGACACCTTCAACAGTCTGACACCTTCAACACAGTCTGACACCTTCAGCACAGTCTGACACCTTCAACACAGTCTGACACCTTCAACACAGTCTGACACCTTCAACACAGTCTGACACCTTCAACACAGTCTGACACCTTCAACACAGTCTGACACCTTCAACACAGTCTGACACCTTCAGCACAGTCTGACACCTTCAACACAGTCTGACACCTTCAACACAGTCTGACACCTTCAACAGTCTCACACCTTCAGCACAGTCTGACACCTTCAGCACAGTCTGACACCTTCAACACAGTCTGACACCTTCAACACAGTCTGACACCTTCAGCACAGTCTGACACCTTCAGCACAGTCTGACACCTTCAACACAGTCTGACATCTTCAACACAGTCTGACACCTTCAACACAGTCTGACACCTTCAACACAGTCTGACACCTTCAACACAGTCTGACACCTTCAACACAGTCTGACACCTTCAACACAGTCTGACACCTTCAGCACAGTCTGACACCTTCAACACAGTCTGACACCTTCAACACAGTCTGACACCTTCAACACAGTCTGACACCTTCAACACAGTCTGACACCTTCAACACAGTCTGACACCTTCAACACAGTCTGACACCTTCAACACAGTCTGACACCTTCAACACAGTCTGACACCTTCAACACAGTCTGACACCTTCAACACAGTCTGACACCTTCAACAGTCTGACACCTTCACACAGTCTGACACCTTCAACACAGTCTGACACCTTCAGCACAGTCTGACACCTTCAACACAGTCTGACACCTTCACAGTCTGACACCTTCAACACAGTCTGACACCTTCAGCACAGTCTGACACCTTCAACACAGTCTGACACCTTCAGCACAGTCTGACACCTTCAGCACAGTCTGACACCTTCAAACACAGTCTGACACCTTCAACACAGTCTGACACCTTCAACACAGTCTGACACCTTCAACACAGTCTGACACCTTCACACAGTCTGACACCTTCAGCACAGTCTGACACCTTCAGCACAGTCTGACACCTTCAACACAGTCGCTGACACCTTCAACACAGTCTGACACCTTCAACACAGTCTGACACCTTCAACACAGTCTGACACCTTCAACACAGTCTGACACCTTCAACACAGTCTGACACCTTCAGCACAGTCTGACACCTTCAACACAGTCTGACACCTTCAACACAGTCTGACACCTTCACACACAGTCTGACACCTTCAACACAGTCTGACACCTTCAACACAGTCTGACACCTTCAACACAGTCTGACACCTTCAACACAGTCTGACACCTTCAGCACAGTCTGACACCTTCAACACAGTCTGACACCTTCAACACAGTCTGACACCTTCAACACAGTCTGACACCTTCAACACAGTCTGACACCTTCAACACAGTCTGACACCTTCAGCACAGTCTGACACCTTCAACACAGTCTGACACCTTCAACACAGTCTGACACCTTCAACACAGTCTGACACCTTCAACACAGTCTGACACCTTCAACACAGTCTGACACCTTCAGCACAGTCTGACACCTTCAACACAGTCTGACACCTTCAACACAGTCTGACACCTTCAACACAGTCTGACACCTTCAACACAGTCTGACACCTTCACACAGTCTGACACCTTCAACACAGTCTGACACCTTCAGCACAGTCTGACACCTTCAACACAGTCTGACACCTTCAACACAGTCTGACACCTTCAACACAGTCTGACACCTTCAACACAGTCTGACACCTTCAACACAGTCTGACACCTTCAACACAGTCTGACACCTTCAACACAGTCTGACACCTTCAACACAGTCTGACACCTTCAGCACAGTCTGACACCTTCAGCACAGTCTGACACCTTCAACACAGTCTGACACCTTCAACACAGTCTGACACCTTCAACACAGTCTGACACCTTCAACACAGTCTGACACCTTCAACACAGTCTGACACCTTCAACACAGTCTGACACCTTCAACACAGTCTGACACCTTCAGCACAGTCTGACACCTTCAACACAGTCTGACACCTTCAACACAGTCTGACACCTTCAACACAGTCTGACACCTTCAACACAGTCTGACACCTTCAACACAGTCTGACACCTTCAACACAGTCTGACACCTTCAACACAGTCTGACACCTTCAACACAGTCTGACACCTTGAACTATCTATATCATCATGTACTATCTATACCATCAAGCACGGTCTATACCATCAAGAACTGTCTATACCATCAAGAACTGTCTGTACCATCAAGAACTATCTATCATCAAGTACTATCTATACCATCAAGAACGGTTTATCATCAAGTACTATCTGTACCATCAAGAACTATCTATACCATCAAGAACGGTTTATCATCAAGTACTATCTGTACCATCAAGTACTATCTGTACCATCAAGTACTATCTGTACCATCAAGAACTATCTATACCATCAAGAACTATCTATACCATCAAGAACTATCTATCAGCATGTACTATCTGTACCATCAAGTACTATCTATACCATCAAGTACTATTTGGTACCATCAAGCTCTCCCCTGTTTAAATGAACGGGCATCACTATGAAGGTTTGCATCTTCATGAGTGCCACAGTAGCATGTTATACCTCATCGTAATTGTAATAAAACGTGTCTGTGTCTATGTGTGTGTGGTTGTGTGTGTGTCTGTGTGTGTGTCCATGTGTGTGTGTCTGTGTCTCTGTGTGTGTGTGTGTGTGTGGGTGTGTCTGTGTGTGTGTGTCTCTGTGTTTGTGTGTGTGTGTCTGTGTCCGTCTGTCTGTGTCTCTGTGTGTGTGTGTGTGTGTCTGTGTCCGTGTGTGTGTGTGTGTCTGTGTGTGGGTTTGTGTCCGTGTGTGGGTGTGTGTTTGTGTCTCTGTGTGTGTCTGTGTGTGTGTTTGTGTCTGTGTGTGTGTGTGTGTGTGTGTCTGTCTGTGTCTCTGTGTGTGTGTGTGTGTCTGTGTCCGTGTGTGTGTGTGTCTGTGTCCGTGTGTGGGTGTGTGTTTGTGTCTCTGTGTGTGTCTGTCTGTGTGTGTGTGTCTGTCTGTGTCTCTCTGTGTGTGTGTGTGTGTGTGTGTGTCTCTCTGTGTGTCTCTGTGTGTGTGTGTTTGTGTCTGTGTGTGTGTGGGTGTGTGTTTGTGTCTCTCTGTGTGTCTCTGTGTGTGTGTGTGTTTGTGTCTCTGTGTGTGTCTGTGTGTGTCTGTGTCCGTGTGTGTGTGGGTGTGTGTTTGTGTCTCTCTGTGTGTCTGTGTCTGTGTGTGTTTGTGTCTCTGTGTGTCTGTGTGTGTGTCTGTCTGTGTCTCTGTGTGTCTGTGTCTCTGTCTGTGTCTCTCTCTGTGTGTGTGTGTGTGTGTGTGTGTGTGTGTGTGTGTCTGTCTGTGTGTCTCTGTGTGTGTCCAGGGCTGGAGTACCTGCAGAGCCTGAACCTGGAGCGTATGGTGCTGTGTCGACTGAACCCTCTGAAAGTGTGTCTGCCCACGGTCACACACATGTTCGCTGCCATCATGAGGTACACACACCGCACACACACTGGACACACAACAATAACAGCATTCTTACTGCTGTCTGACAGTCTACCGTACTCCTTCTACAGTCTGACAGTGTCCCGTACTACTTGTACCAGTGTTATTTTCGTTGACGATATATTATAGTCATATTTTTTGTCACAAATATATTTTTAAGGATGAAAACGAAACGAAAACATAAGTAATTCATTGAGACGTAGACAATAACTAAATTGATTGACGTTTTTGTCCACGAATAAAAGACGAGACAAAAAATTGACCATGACGAAATCAAATCAGAAGAATGAATTGACAAGATCAAATGAGAAAACAACCAATCGACTGCCAGAGTGTAAGCAGGAAGACCAATGAGGGCTGGTCTTAGTAAGCACCGGTGGCCCAGCTGTACCAGTAGCTATTGCTAACGCTAACCACCACACCACTTGGTACCATGGATCTATTGCTCAGCACTCATGTAAGTTTGTAAAGTGTCAGTATCAGTGAAAGAACAAGAGCATGTGCACGACTGGCCTTTATGTTTGACAAAGAAGACAATAAGAGATGGGAATGAAGCCCCGTGAAGAGGCATTAAGGCAGCATTAATACGGTTGAAAACTTTGAGGTGAATAATTTGCAATACCGCCATCATGTGGACAAAAAAAGTTAAACACTCTTAAGTGCCTACAATAAATGGTGCCTCGGAGACATGTACCGTTACTCTACAATGATATTATATAAAAACAAGATCGCTCCAACGTAAAGTAACAGCTTCTGTCTGTGTCACGTTTGTCATTGTTTGCTACAAACAATTATACTGAACGTATTTGTACAAAAATGTCCCTTATGCAAATGTCATGAGCAACATGTTCAGGAAAAAAGTATTTTTAGTTGACTAAAACTAAAATAAGATGACTAACATTGTGACTAAAACTATAATTATTTTTTGCAAAAGACTAAGACAAGAAGAAAAATATTAGAATTTCTTGTCAAAATTAACACTACGTTGTACAGTGTGAGTGTGTTGCAGGAGGTACCAGGTGGTGTTGTGTTACTCTGTGATAGTACTCGTTGTACAGTGTGAGTGTGTTGCAGGAGGTACCAGGTGGTGTTGTGTTACTCTGTGATAGTACTCGTTGTACAGTGTGAGTGTGTTGCAGGAGGTACCAGGTGGTGTTGTGTTACTCTGTGATAGTACTCGTTGTACAGTGTGAGTGTGTTGCAGGAGGTACCAGGTGGTGTTGTTACTCTGTGATAGTACTCGTTGTACAGTGTGAGTGTGTTGCAGGAGGTACCAGGTGGTGTTGTGTTACTCTGTGATAGTACTCGTTGTACACTGTGAGTGTGTTGCAGGAGGTACCAGGTGGTGTTGTGTTACTCTGTGATAGTACTCGTTGTACAGTGTGAGTGTGTTGCAGGAGGTACCAGGTGGTGTTGTGTTACTCTGTGATAGTACTCGTTGTACAGTGTGAGTGTGTTACAGGAGGTACCAGGTGGTGTTGTGTTACTCTGTGATAGTACTCGTTGTACAGTGTGAGTGTGTTGCAGGAGGTACCAGGTGTTGTTGTGTTACTCTGTGATAGTACTCGTTGTACAGTGTGAGTGTGTTGCAGGAGGTACCAGGTGGTGTTGTGTTACTCTGTGATAGTACTCGTTGTACAGTGTGAGTGTGTTGCACGAGGTACCAGGTGGTGTTGTGTTACTCTGTGATAGTACTCATTGTACAGTGTGAGTATGTTACAGGAGGTACCAGGTGGTGTTGTGTTACTCTGTGATAGTACTCGTTGTACAGTGTGAGTGTGTTGCAGGAGGTACCAGGTGGTGTTGTGTTACTCTGTGATAGTACTCGTTGTACAGTGTGAGTGTGTTACAGGAGGTACCAGGTGGTGTTGTGTTACTCTGTGATAGTACTCGTTGTACAGTGTGAGTGTGTTGCAGGAGGTACCAGGTGGTGTTGTGTTACTCTGTGATAGTACTCGTTGTACAGTGTGAGTGTGTTACAGGAGGTACCAGGTGGTGTTGTTACTCTGTTATAGTACTCGTTGTACAGTGTGAGTGTGTTGCAGGAGGTACCAGGTGGTGTTGTGTTACTCTGTGATAGTACTCGTTGTACAGTGTGAGTGTGTTGCAGGAGGTACCAGGTGGTGTTGTGTTACTCTGTGATAGTACTCGATGTACAGTGTGAGTGTGTTGCAGGAGGTACCAGGTGGTGTTGTGTTACTCTGTGATAGTACTCATTGTACAGTGTGAGTATGTTACAGGAGGTACCAGGTGGTGTTGTGTTACTCTGTGATAGTACTCGTTGTACACTGTGAGTGTGTTGCAGGAGGTACCAGGTGGTGTTGTGTTACTCTGTGATAGTACTCGTTGTACAGTGTGATTGTGTTGCAGGAGGTACCAGGTGGTGTTGTGTTACTCTGTGATAGTACTCGTTATACAGTGTGAGTGTGTTACAGGAGGTACCAGGTGGTGTTGTTACTCTGTGATAGTACTCGTTGTACACTGAGTGTGTTGCAGGAGGTACCAGGTGGTGTTGTGTTACTCTGTGATAGTACTCGTTGTACAGTGTGATTGTGTTGCAGGAGGTACCAGGTGGTGTTGTGTTACTCTGTGATAGTACTCGTTATACAGTGTGAGTGTGTTGCAGGAGGTACCAGGTGGTGTTGTTACTCTGTGATAGTACTCGTTGTACACTGTGAGTGTGTTGCAGGAGGTACCAGGTGGTGTTGTGTTACTCTGTGATAGTACTTGTTGTACAGTGTGAGTGTGTTGCAGGAGGTACCAGGTGGTGTTGTGTTACTCTGTGATAGTACTCGTTGTGCAGTGTGAGTGTGTTGCAGGAGGTACCAGGTGGTGTTGTGTTACTCTGTGATAGTACTCGTTGTACAGTGTGAGTGTGTTGCAGGAGGTACCAGGTGGTGTTGTGTTACTCTGTGATAGTACTCGTTGTACAGTGTGAGTGTGTTACAGGAGGTACCAGGTGGTGTTGTTACTCTGTGATAGTACTCGTTGTACAGTGTGAGTGTGTTGCAGGAGGTACCAGGTGGTGTTGTGTTACTCTGTGATAGTACTCGTTATACAGTGTGAGTGTGTTACAGGAGGTACCAGGTGGTGTTGTTACTCTGTGATAGTACTCGTTGTACACTGAGTGTGTTGCAGGAGGTACCAGGTGGTGTTGTGTTACTCTGTGATAGTACTCGTTGTACACTGTGAGTGTGTTGCAGGAGGTACCAGGTGGTGTTGTGTTACTCTGTGATAGTACTCGTTGTACAGTGTGATTGTGTTGCAGGAGGTACCAGGTGGTGTTGTTACTCTGTGATAGTACTCGTTGTACAGTGTGAGTGTGTTGCAGGAGGTACCAGGTGGTGTTGTTACTCTGTGATAGTACTCGTTGTACACTGTGAGTGTGTTGCAGGAGGTACCAGGTGGTGTTGTGTTACTCTGTGATAGTACTTGTTGTACAGTGTGAGTGTGTTGCAGGAGGTACCAGGTGGTGTTGTGTTACTCTGTGATAGTACTCGTTGTGCAGTGTGAGTGTGTTGCAGGAGGTACCAGGTGGTGTTGTGTTACTCTGTGATAGTACTCGTTGTACAGTGTGAGTGTGTTACAGGAGGTACCAGGTGGTGTTGTTACTCTGTTATAGTACTCGTTGTACAGTGTGAGTGTGTTGCAGGAGGTACCAGGTGGTGTTGTGTTACTCTGTGATAGTACTCGTTGTACAGTGTGAGTGTGTTGCAGGAGGTACCAGGTGGTGTTGTGTTACTCTGTGATAGTACTCGATGTACAGTGTGAGTGTGTTGCAGGAGGTACCAGGTGGTGTTGTGTTACTCTGTGATAGTACTCATTGTACAGTGTGAGTATGTTACAGGAGGTACCAGGTGGTGTTGTGTTACTCTGTGATAGTACTCGTTGTACACTGTGAGTGTGTTGCAGGAGGTACCAGGTGGTGTTGTGTTACTCTGTGATAGTACTCGTTGTACAGTGTGATTGTGTTGCAGGAGGTACCAGGTGGTGTTGTGTTACTCTGTGATAGTACTCGTTATACAGTGTGAGTGTGTTACAGGAGGTACCAGGTGGTGTTGTTACTCTGTGATAGTACTCGTTGTACACTGAGTGTGTTGCAGGAGGTACCAGGTGGTGTTGTGTTACTCTGTGATAGTACTCGTTGTACAGTGTGATTGTGTTGCAGGAGGTACCAGGTGGTGTTGTGTTACTCTGTGATAGTACTCGTTATACAGTGTGAGTGTGTTGCAGGAGGTACCAGGTGGTGTTGTTACTCTGTGATAGTACTCGTTGTACACTGTGAGTGTGTTGCAGGAGGTACCAGGTGGTGTTGTGTTACTCTGTGATAGTACTTGTTGTACAGTGTGAGTGTGTTGCAGGAGGTACCAGGTGGTGTTGTGTTACTCTGTGATAGTACTCGTTGTGCAGTGTGAGTGTGTTGCAGGAGGTACCAGGTGGTGTTGTGTTACTCTGTGATAGTACTCGTTGTACAGTGTGAGTGTGTTGCAGGAGGTACCAGGTGGTGTTGTGTTACTCTGTGATAGTACTCGTTGTACAGTGTGAGTGTGTTACAGGAGGTACCAGGTGGTGTTGTTACTCTGTGATAGTACTCGTTGTACAGTGTGAGTGTGTTGCAGGAGGTACCAGGTGGTGTTGTGTTACTCTGTGATAGTACTCGTTATACAGTGTGAGTGTGTTACAGGAGGTACCAGGTGGTGTTGTTACTCTGTGATAGTACTCGTTGTACACTGAGTGTGTTGCAGGAGGTACCAGGTGGTGTTGTGTTACTCTGTGATAGTACTCGTTGTACACTGTGAGTGTGTTGCAGGAGGTACCAGGTGGTGTTGTGTTACTCTGTGATAGTACTCGTTGTACAGTGTGATTGTGTTGCAGGAGGTACCAGGTGGTGTTGTTACTCTGTGATAGTACTCGTTGTACAGTGTGAGTGTGTTGCAGGAGGTACCAGGTGGTGTTGTTACTCTGTGATAGTACTCGTTGTACACTGTGAGTGTGTTGCAGGAGGTACCAGGTGGTGTTGTGTTACTCTGTGATAGTACTTGTTGTACAGTGTGAGTGTGTTGCAGGAGGTACCAGGTGGTGTTGTGTTACTCTGTGATAGTACTCGTTGTGCAGTGTGAGTGTGTTGCAGGAGGTACCAGGTGGTGTTGTGTTACTCTGTGATAGTACTCGTTGTACAGTGTGAGTGTGTTGCAGGAGGTACCAGGTGGTGTTGTGTTACTCTGTGATAGTACTCGTTGTACAGTGTGAGTGTGTTGCAGGAGGTACCAGGTGGTGTTGTGTTACTCTGTGATAGTACTCGTTGTACAGTGTGAGTGTGTTGCAGGAGGTACCAGGTGGGTTGTGTTACTCTGTGATAGTACTTGTTGTACAGTGTGAGTGTGTTGCAGGAGGTACCAGGTGGTGTTGTGTTACTCTGTGATAGTACTCGTTGTACAGTGTGAGTGTGTTGCAGGAGGTACCAGGTGGTGTTGTGTTACTCTGTGATAGTACTTGTTGTACAGTGTGATTGGGTTGCAGGAGGTACCAGGTGGTGTTGTGTTACTCTGTGATAGTACTTGTTGTACAGTGTGATTGTGTTGCAGGAGGTACCAGGTGGTGTTCTGTTACTCGGTGATAGAGAAGAACAGTCGACACATGGTGCCGATGGTGCGCAGCTCCACAGGGGGCGACAGAGTGCTCTCCAACACCAACCCCCTGGACTGCTTCTTCCCCTACGACCCCTACCTGCTCAAGAGGTCCACACACACACACACACACACACACTCAGAGATACACACACTCAGAGAGGCAGACGCACAGAGAGAGGGAGAGACACACACACACTCACAGAGAAACAGAGAGAGACACACACAGAGACACGCACGCACACTCGGAGAGACACACATACAAACACACAGAGGTACACACAAACACACATTTAGAGAGAGACACACACACACTCAAAGATACACACATTCAGAGAGGCAGACGTACAGAGAGACACACACTCACAGAGACACACACACACACACACGCACACACTCACAGAGAGAGACACACACACTCACAGAGAAAGAGACACACACTCACAGAGACACACACACACACTCACAGAGAGAGAGAGACACACACTCACACACATACACGTTTTTGTTACCTGGTGGGTCCCTTTGACAGGGCCGTTCAGAATGGGACCCATAGACATAATCTTTTTTTACTGGGACTACTTTAAGTAATACAAAACAGTCAATAGAAACCAAACAACTCTTTTAAAGGAATTTTATTTTAGATTTTTTTTTTTGAATTGCAGTGATTCTATTTTTGACATAGAATTTAATGCCACTCCATGTCCGATGTCTAAGGTCATCTGGTGAGGCATTAATGCAGGCCAGGCAGTGAGACTTCCCAGGGACCTTTCCAGTCTGTATGAAAGGTGTCATGGTCTTCTCCACAGCCTTCACCTCAGATGCAGACCATGGCTTTCTCTAACGTTCTAGGGAGAGAAATAAAAATATATTAGCAATATACACTCCCAGGGTTAGGACCAAGCATAACTGGTGCAGCAACAACAACTTGGAGCTGAATGCTCTGAAGACAGTGGAGATGGTGGTGGACTTTAGGAGGGACCCAACCCCGCCTCCTCCTGTCATGCTGGGCGGCACTCAGGTGGAATCTGTCCAGTCCTGCAAGTTCCTGGGGATAATTATCTCCAGAGACCTCAAGTGGGAATCCAATATCACAGCCCTCCTGAGAAAAGCCCAGCAGAGGATGTACTTCCTTCGTCAGCTGCGGAAATACAGACTGTCGAGGGCCATGATGACCCAGTTCTACTCGGCCATCATAGAGTCTATCCTCACTCACTCCATCATCACCTGGTTCCCCGCTGCAGCTGCGAAAGACCTGGTCAAGCTGCAGCGGGTGATACGCTCTGCGGAGAGGGTGATTGGCCATCCCCTGCCCTCCCTTAAGTCCCTGCACGACTCCAGGGCACTGAGGAGGGCGAGAAAGATCATGGCTGACCCCTCCCACCCTGGTCACAGCCTCCTCACCCTGCTCCCCTCTGGGAGGAGGATGCGGCATCTGGGGGCTAAGACAGAGCGCTACAAAAACAGTTTTTTCCCCTCAGCGGCCAGGCTGCTCACTGACGCTGGTTTCCCTTCTTCCCTTGCCCCCTAGGAACAAGGACTGAACACTATGGCACTTTATTACACTATTCTATTTATATCTCTTGCACTTTTTGTTAAATTATATGTGAAAAAAAAGATGAATGCACACTGTCATGTTGCCAAGTCAAATTCCTATGTGTTTTGCACAATGGTAAATAAAGTAATCTGAATCTGAATCTGAATCAGCCTGGCTGTAATCCCCCACCTGGTACACTTACCAGAAGGGGCACTGCCACTACCATGGGGTGCATCTGGATGAATGGTTGAAGGTTCTCCGCTTGAAGTTTCTTTTAGCCCGTCCGTTTGTGAGAGGATCTCTACTGCTCTCCCTGTCGCACAGAAAATAAAAATACAAGTGGCCTTTAGGGGAAAAAAATCATACATATTTTAATAATATCAAGAATTACCTTCAGGCTCAATTTGTATCTGGTCGAGGCTCTTTCCTTTGAATTCCGTCACTCTTCCCTGCTCCATGGCCATCAACACTTTGCTGATTTTGGCCAGCTCCAGTGTCCCCTCTGGTAGTCTGTAATATTGCCTGTGGATGCGAATGTCATGGCCGAGGAAGTTGGCAAGTATGTCCATCTCATTCTCTTTCATATTGAGAACTGTAGACATAGTAGCTATGTGCTTTCTAAGTTTGGTTGAGGATAGCATCTCTGGATGCACCGCACCACATTCTTTGGCTACCTGGCGTAGGGAGTCTGATCCCCTGATGTGGGTGTCTGCGCCCGGGCGGGAAAAGAAGTATGGGTTATGGTCAGAGATGGAACAGGCCCTTCTGTTCTCCACCAGCACCTCCATCGAAGCAATCATTTCAGGAGTCAAAAGAACCGGCACTTTCCGACTTCTTTTCCCTTTAATTTCAATGCGTTGAAAATGCTGACACAGCTTTTTCTCAAGTTGGGACAGTCCCAGAGCAATGTCAGAATGGATCCCAGTCTTACTTCTTAAGGTAAACGCTGTCAGTGGCATCTTTGAAACCTCACCTTCCCTTCTTCGATTGAAAATAATGACCTCACAAAGAGTCAAAACTGCCAGTTTAGACCAATGCTTAGACGTTGGCTCACTTATTAGGGTTTGCACATATTCAGGTCGACATACCTCAATATGTGCATGCATGGCTCTAACGTCCTCAGTCAGAGGGAGCAGGTCCGGAGTGTTCCACTTGGCTTGCCGGAGGGTCTGTAGGGCAGCAGAAGAAACACAGACGTCCCACCTCTTCTCAAAAAGCAGCCGGCTTCGTTGGAGGTTTTTAATAAATAGTTCATCAACACAATGCTCCATTTTTGAGTCACATTCAAGAATATCTGCTTTCTGAGGCTATGGCCGAGTTTGAGGGCCAAGGATGGAGTCTTGTATTGATTTGTTTCCTCATCATATCCAGCCACAGACCTGACTGCATCAATCACATGGTTAAAGTTGGAAGGAATAAAGAAATCCTTAATTGTTTTCAGTTTCCCTGCAGTTTTTGCTTCGTTAATTAACCTACCGACTTCTCTCATTTTCTGCCTAATGTAATCATGCTTAGTCTTATCATGCCCGTGTTTTAAGTACAGGTGCTCTCCGAGTCTCAGAATCCCCTTTTCTGCTTTGACAACACCCGTGACCTCATCCTGATGCATTGCCCAAATTAAAGACCACAGCTTTTTGCTGATGCCCTCCGGTACAGGCTGGGCTAGGGAGCAGAGGGACTGGACCCTACTTCTACCTGGTTTAGCCTGGTTTAGCCTGGTTTAGCCTGGGCATCTTTCTGTGAAAGCCGGCACCTGGCCACATGCCTCCACAGCCACTTTCGCTTAAGCAATGCCCCACAGTCTATACAGTGCAAAAACTCACTGGATTTAACTGGGCAATTTGGCTGTTTAGCTGGGACTAAAGTTCCAATGCCGGCCTTTAAAACCTCAACATTGTGCTCACGGTTTCCACTATTCCTGATCAAATCAAACTGAAGTTTACGTGCTTTAGATTTCACAGGTAGAGCCAATGCTCTGGCTACGTCACTTTCATTTCCATGTTTTCTAGTCAAATGACGGGACATTTTGTGGCAGGACATTGAACAGTAGAGGCAGAAGTGTCTCTTGCTATAAACTCTCCCCCCATTTTTCTTCTTTTGCAGCTGCATGATAACAATCTTATTTGCCTTTGGTTCGTCACTTTCCGAGTCTTGAAGAAAAGTGTTTTTGATTTTTCTTTTTCCATACTTTTTTACAGGTTTCTTCTTGACAGTTAAATCGTCAGAATCTGAGTCGACTTCATCAATTAGGGACTCTTGACTAAGCTGCACAAACAACAAATAATTTGTAATAATTCTATACAACAATTTGAAGTCATGACTTGTAGTCAGCACTTACCAGTGGTTTGTAAGCGTGCGCTTCAGTGTGCTCCTCTGTGATTGGCTGCAGCCTAATGAACCACACACTTGCACCTTTTCTAGCCTGACACCTGATTTCCTCTGTTGTGCTGCTCCATGATTGGCTCCAGCCTCTGTTGTGCTGCTCCATGATTGGCTCCAGCCTCTGTTGTGCTGCTCCATGATTGGCTCCAGCCTCTGTTGTGCTGCTCCATGATTGGCTCCAGCCTCTGTTGTGCTGCTCCATGATTGGCTCCAGCCTCTGTTGTGCTGCTCCATGATTGGCTCCAGCCTGCTGGACTGAAATTGCCCCAGTGTGCCCCTCCTTGATATCCCGCAACCCACCACCAGGGTTCCGACACATAACACACTTTTTTCAGGAAAGTAAACCTCCAGGGGTCCTTTCCATATTTTTACAGAGACTGCATAAGGACCGTTAGAAAAGCATTACCCATTGATTATTAAGCTTGGACCAGTGGGGTCCGGTGTTCGGGCCCCACCACGTAAAACCAGTCCCCATGACGTGAGTGGAATCTCAGGTTATGGAACCCACCAGGAGTTGAAAACAAGTGCACACACACACACACACACACACACACACACACACACACACACACACACACACACACACACACACACACACACACACACACACACACACACACACACACACACACACACACACACACACACACAGACAGAGACACACACACAGAGACACACACACACACGACAGCTTCAGTCAAATACCTCTGTTCATTATTTATCCTGGTTTGACCAGGTCCGGACAGCTGATCCAGCCTCTGTACCAGGTGTGGGAGGAACCAGCTGACCCAGACCTGCAGCCCCCCAAACCCACACACCAGGTGAGCCTCCCAAACCCACACACACCAGGTGAGCCGCCCAAACACACACCAGGTGACCCCCCCAAACACACACACACCAGGTGAGCCGCCCAAACACACACACACACACCAGGTGAGCCGCCCAAACACACACCAGGTGACCCCCCCAAACACACACACACCAGGTGAGCCGCCCAAACACACACACACCAGGTGAGCCGCCCAAACACACACCAGGTGAGCCGCCCAAACACACACACACCAGGTGAGCCGCCCAAACACACACCAGGTGACCCCCCCAAACACACACACACCAGGTGAGCCGCCCAAACACACACACACCAGGTGAGCCGCCCAAACACACACCAGGTAAGCCGCCCAAACACACACACACCAGGTGAGCCGCCCAAACACACACACACCAGGTGAGCCCCAGCTCCACTCACACCATAAAGCTTTCACAGCAGGTATGTATTTGTGTATCATCCTAAATCCCAGCGGCAGTTTCTCTGAGGACTTTCCAAAGCTGTCGATTCTCCAGCACAGATTAGAGAATCACACATTGGTCTTATAGAACTGTCAGTCTCAGAGCCTCCTGCCTCAGTGTCTGTGATGTCACGTGTCTGCTGACCATAGTCTACATCTGACCGTAGTCTACATCTGACCTCTGACCATAGTTTACATCTGACCATAGTCTACATCTGACCTCTGACCATAGTTTACATCTGACCATAGTTTACATCTAGTAAGTAAGTAAGTCATCTTTATTTATATACCGCCTTTCACAGACCAGAGTCACAAAGCGGTTTACAATTGTTATTTTTTGGGCACTTGTCTCTCACTCCACACAGAAATGGGAGCAGGGTCGCCGAACAGGAGGCGCATGCCAGACCTATTGTACATATTTTTAGTGGTAGGGGAAACCGGAGTACCCGGAGGAAACCTACGCAGACACGGGGAGAACATGCAAACTCCACTCAGAAAGGCCCTGGTCCGGCCGGGATTCGAACCCAGGACCTTCTTGCTGAGCGGCAAGAGTGCTATCCACTCAGCCACCGTGCCGCCCATCTGACCATAGTTTACATCTGACCATAGTTTACATCTGACCATAGTCTACATCTGACCATAGTGACTATGGTCAGATGTAGACTATGGTCAGATGTAGACTATGGTCAGATGTAAACTATGGTCAGATGTAGAATATGGTCAGATGTAAACTATGGTCAGATGTAGACTATGGTCAGATGTAGACTATGGTCAGACGTAAACTATGGTCAGATGTAGACTATGGTCAGATGTAAACTATGGTCAGATGTAAACTATGGTCAGATGTAAACTATGGTCAGATGTAAACTATGGTCAGATGTAGACTATGGCATAGTCTACATCTGACCATAGTCTACATCTGACCACATCTGACCATAGTCTACATCTGACCACACATCTGACCATAGTCTACACATCTGACCATAGTCTACATCTGACCATAGTCTACATCTGACCATAGTTTACATCTGACCATAGTCTACATCTGACCATAGTTTACATCTGACCATAGTCTACATCTGACCATAGTTTACATCTGACCATAGTCTACATCTGACCACATCTGACCATAGTCTACATCTGACCATAGTCTACATCTGACCATAGTCTACATCTGACCATAGTCTACATCTGACCACATCTGACCATAGTCTACATCTGACCACATCTGACCATAGTCTACATCTGACCATAGTCTACATCTGACCATAGTCTACATCTGACCATAGTTTACATCTGACCATAGTCTACATCTGACCATAGTTTACATCTGACCATAGTCTACATCTGACCATAGTTTACATCTGACCATAGTCTACATCTGACCACATCTGACCATAGTCTACATCTGACCATAGTCTACATCTGACCATAGTCTACATCTGACCATAGTCTACATCTGACCATAGTTTACATCTGACCATAGTCTACATCTGACCATAGTTTACATCTGACCATAGTCTACATCTGACCACATCTGACCATAGTCTACATCTGACCATAGTCTACATCTGACCATAGTTTACATCTGACCATAGTCTACATCTGACCATAGTTTACATCTGACCATAGTTTACATCTGACCATAGTCTACATCTGACCATAGTCTACATCTGACCACATCTGACCATAGTCTACATCTGACCATAGTCTACATCTGACCATAGTCTACATCTGACCATAGTTTACATCTGACCATAGTCTACATCTGACCATAGTCTACATCTGACCACATCTGACCATAGTTTACATCTGACCATAGTTTACATCTGACCATAGTCTACATCTGACCATAGTCTACATTTGACCATAGTTTACATCTGACCATAGTCTACATCTGACCATAGTCTACATCTGACCATAGTTTACATCTGACCATAGTCTACATCTGACCATAGTTTACATCTGACCATAGTTTACATCTGACCATAGTCTACATCTGACCACATCTGACCATAGTCTACATCTGACCATAGTCTACATCTGATCATAGTTTACATCTGACCACATCTGACCATAGTCTACATCTGACCATAGTCTACATCTGACCATAGTTTACATCTGACCACATCTGACCATAGTCTACATCTGACCATAGTTTACATCTGACCATAGTTTACATCTGACCATAGTCTACATCTGACCATAGTTTACATCTGACCACATCTGACCATAGTCTACATCTGACCATAGTCTACATCTGATCATAGTTTACATCTGACCACATCTGACCATAGTCTACATCTGACCATAGTTTACATCTGACCATAGTCTACATCTGACCGTAGTTTACATCTAACCGTAGTTTACGTCTGACCATAGTTTACATCTGACCGTAGTCTACATCTGACCACATCTGACCATAGTCTACATCTGACCATAGTTTACATCTGACCATAGTTTACATCTGACCATAGTTTACATCTGACCATAGTTTACATCTGACCATAGTCTACATCTGACCATAGTTTACATCTGACCATAGTTTACATCTGACCATAGTTTACATCTGACCATAGTCTACATCTGACCGTAGTTTACATCTGACCATAGTTTACATCTGACCATAGTCTACATCTGACCGTAGTTTACATCTGACCATAGTCTACATCTGACCATAGTTTACATCTGACCATAGTTTACATCTGACCATAGTCTACATCTGACCATAGTTTACATCTGACCATAGTTTACATCTGACCATAGTCTACATCTGACCGTAGTTTACATCTGACCACATCTGACCATAGTCTACATCTGACCATAGTCTACATCTGACCATAGTTTACATCTGACCATAGTTTACATCTGACCGTAGTCTACATCTGACCATAGTCTACATCTGACCATAGTTTACATCTGACCACATCTGACCATAGTCTACATCTGACCATAGTTTACATCTGACCATAGTTTACATCTGACCATAGTCTACATCTGACCATAGTTTACATCTGACCACATCTGACCATAGTTTACGTCTGACCATAGTTTACATCTGACCATAGTCTACACATCTGACCATAGTTTACATCTGACCATAGTTTACATCTGACCATAGTCTACATCTGACCATAGTCTACATCTGACCATAGTCTACATCTGACCATAGTTTACATCTGACCATAGTTTACATCTGACCACATCTGACCATAGTTTACATCTGACCATAGTTTACATCTGACCATAGTTTACATCTGAACACATCTGACCATCGTTTACATCTGACCATAGTTTACATCTGACCATAGTTTACATCTGACCATAGTCTACATCTGACCATAGTTTACATCTGACCACATCTGACCATAGTTTACGTCTGACCATAGTTTACATCTGACCATAGTCTACATCTGACCATAGTTTACATCTGACCATAGTTTACATCTGACCATAGTCTACATCTGACCATAGTCTACATCTGACCATAGTTTACATCTGACCATAGTCTACATCTGACCATAGTTTACATCTGACCATAGTTTACATCTGACCATAGTTTACATCTGACCGTAGTTTACATCTGACCATAGTCTACATCTGACCATAGTTTACATCTGACCACATCTGACCATAGTTTACATCTGACCATAGTTTACATCTGACCATAGTTTACATCTGACCATAGTCTACATCTGACCATAGTCTACATCTGACCATAGTTTACATCTGACCACATCTGACCATAGTTTACGTCTGACCATAGTTTACATCTGACCATAGTTTACATCTGACCATAGTCTACATCTGACCATAGTCTACATCTGACCACATCTGACCATAGTCTACATCTGACCATAGTCTACATCTGACCACATCTGACCATAGTTTACATCTGACCATAGTTTACATCTGACCATAGTCTACATCTGACCATAGTCTACATCTGACCACATCTGACCATAGTCTACATCTGACCACATCTGACCATAGTCTACATCTGACCATAGTCTACATCTGACCACATCTGACCATAGTCTACATCTGACCATAGTTTACATCTGACCATAGTCTACATCTGACCATAGTCTACATCTGACCATAGTTTACATCTGACCATAGTCTACATCTGACCATAGTTTACATCTGACCATAGTCTACATCTGACCATAGTTTACATCTGACCATAGTTTACATCTGACCATAGTCTACATCTGACCATAGTCTACATCTGACCATAGTTTACATCTGACCATAGTTTACATCTGACCATAGTCTACATCTGACCATAGTTTACATCTGACCATAGTCTACATCTGACCATAGTCTACATCTGACCATAGTTTACATCTGACCATAGTTTACATCTGACCATAGTCTACATCTGACCATAGTCTACATCTGACCATAGTCTACATCTGACCATAGTCTACATCTGACCACATCTGATCATAGTTTACATCTGACCATAGTCTACATCTGACCGTAGTTTACATCTGACCATAGTTTACATCTGACCATAGTTTACATCTGAC